AGGACGTACTAGTTGCGTGTTTCAGATAGGCAAAGTTGGATTTCAAATGTGAGAAAACAGCACATACTCGGAAGACTTAACCCTTGGTTTCCTGCTAAAAAACCCATCAGTCACAGATTTATTTAATAGTTTCCTCCTTCTCAGCTATGCGAATTTTCGAAGGTACCTAGAGCCACAGTTTTTAATGAGAACAAAATAATAAAGATTGTATTTGAAACTGTGAGTGTGATTTGTGAGTTCTTTTTAAACACATTACTTCACAAATCTGCTTTCTGTGGCCAGAGTCAAAAGGATGCAAACCTCCAGTGAAAGTCCAATAAAAGTGGCGAGAGGCAGGGAGGAACCTTATAAAATAAAAACTGGTGCAAGAGGAATTGAAACCTGTAGCTGCAGCCTCCTCTTGTGCAAACTAGTTTCACAGGATTTACAGGCAGTGTTTGTGTCATGCTTGCATGGCTTTGTTATTGAGGGAAGAGAATCTCTCATAGGGAACTGTGAATGCAAAGGAATGAGAAGATATTTTGCATGAGAATATGGAAGAATATTGATCTAGTGGCCAAGTCGTTAAGCACTGCCCTTTGTATTTATTGTATAAATCTGCTTAGATTTATATTCTTCTTTGATTATTGTCAGCAGGTTGAGGGATGTCCTTCCTCTCTCTACTCAGCATTGCTGAGATCTTACCTGGATTGCTGGGTCTAGTTCTGGGCTCTCCAGTGCAAAAGAGATCTAGAACTGTTAGAGAGTCCGGTTAAAGACTGTGAAGATGATGAGAAGGCATGGAGCAGCTCCTTTCTTATGAGAGGAGACAGCTGGGACTGTTCTGTCTGGAGAAGAGAAGGGTTGGGGAATTTCTGTAAAGAGTTGAAGGGAGATTGCAAGAAGAGAAGGGAGTGGTGCCCAAGGACAGGTCAGTAGGCACAAACAAACATCAGGAAGCACTTCACTGTGAGGGTGACCCAGCACTGCCTGGAGGCTGTGGAGTTTCCTTTTTGGAGTTCTTCCAGAGCTGCATGGCCTTGGGTGCCCTGCTCTGGGTGTCACTGTTGGACCAGAGGCACCCAGAGACCCCTTCCAGCCTCAGCTATTTTGTGATCCTTTGACAAACTCTGAGAATCTGTATTGTAATCAGTTTATTCCAGTATCTTTGGTAATGATATGAAAGGGTGCATAAGCAACACATCAGATTATTTCTAGTTGTGGTTAATTTTAATTCATATCTGAGAAATTAAAGATAAAACAAGTAGCCTGGGGAGAGATGGAGGGGAGGAAAAGAAGACTGATATGCACTTGAATGCTAAAGAAGGCCTTCAGGTCTTCACTGTTGAAGACCAGCTGCGTATGAAGCTTTGCAGCTACTAGCTGAGTTCTTTCTAGCCACGGCAGGGAGCCAAAAGGACAGGCTGCTCATCAGAGTGTGTAATCAGGTTCAGGCAAGAGCCCAGATCATCAGGCTACTCTGTGATATGAAGTCAAGTCTAAGAACGAGCTGGGAAGTCCAACTGCGAGTCAGAGCCTGAACCCAGATGAGAAATCAGCATTGTGCTCCAGGCCAGTAATTTGATGCAGAACTCTTCAGAGGACAGGAAGCTGTGTGCCAGGCTTCATGCTGAAGGTAGCAAAGGGGAAGTAGACTCCAGAGAAAAGTGGAAGATGATAGCAGATCAGCTGGTTGAGAAGAGATCAGTCCAACTGGTATGGAACAGGGAAATGATGAACAGAAGTGCTTTCTATAACCGTGGAGAGATGGAAATCTAATTTAGAGAACAGGTCATGGCTCACCTATCTTAAGCTCTCTTGCCCTCTCCAGAAATCCATAGTTACTTAAAACTGAACAAAGCAAATTCTTTCTCTTCTTCTCTCTACTCCTTCCTCCAAAAAGATGAAGAGAAAAATGATTGGACTGAGGAAGGAAACAGGAAGGAAGGAATGAAGTGAAAGCGTTGAGTGATAGTGGTGTAGTATTCTGGACATGAGACAACAGATGGATCTCTGTTGGCCTGTTATGTTGGGAGGTCTCTCTAGAGTAAAATCTGAAAAGTTTGTAGTGCAGACATAAGTGTTTCTTTGTTCTTGGAAAGTAGTATCAAGATGGTTTATAATTATCTTCAGGGTCTGTTTAGTAAATAAGTTCTTGTTGCTCTGCTTGTGTTGGGAGTCAGGTACTGGTTTGACTGTTCACTCACAGTGTGACTTTTCTGCTCCTTGGCTTGCTTACTGTGCTCTGTAACCCAACAGTATCCTGCTGTTCTGTGGCATCAGCTGCTGTGGAAGTGCAGACTGTTGTCCCGTGATTTTGATTCTTTAAACAAGATCTCTAAAGCTAATCCTCAGTGATTGTAATCACTAGTTTGTTCCCCTGGCAAAATAGGATTATGGCATAGAGATCAGGTTGTATTAATGATGCTAATCTGATTCAGTTTGCAGACACTGTATTGTTGGACAACTGAATCGTTTCCTGTATTTTTCATAAAGTTTTTCCTGGTTGAAATTATTTGTATTACTGGTGCTTGTCATCTCTCAGTAATTCCATCTGAGAACTGCAATCTGGTGAAAGTGATGAAAACATTACTTATAAAATTAAGATGTATGTAGATACCTCTTTCAGTACAAAGACAATATCGATTCTTTCTCAAAAATATTTAGCAATGTTATTGTTGAAGTGTTGGAGGAGACATAAAAGCTTCAGTCACTGACTATATACAGAATTGGCTGTTGCCTCATCTGTCATACTTGTCATGAGCAAGATTGTGATGTAATTTCCCAGTGTTCCCAGTTTTTGAACTTGTTTTTCTAAGATTTAATACTGTCAGTATGCAGACCAGTCAATGACAAAATCGGATTGAGGTTACTGAAATTCCTTCAGCCTGTAACATGGAACATTTTGTCAGATGGTGCAGATTTTTTTGTTGTTACCTGAGGTTGGATTGTGGCTTTTTACCCTAGGACTTATTCAGAACTGTTTCTTTGGCTGTGCACTAATGTGCTATCCAGTAACTGCATGTCACTCTCAGAATGATAAGTCAGCACAGCACAGAGGCTGCGGTATTGCTAGCTTTCCTGCTTTTGCTGTAGATTGAGCAATGTTGGGTATTAATAATTTGTACATCCATGGCAGCAGCTGAGGTTTTTGATTGAGGAACTTAGGTTTTCCTAAAAATAGTGAGTCGCTATTCTTCTTGATCAGACAGAAAAATTTGAAAGCATGCACTGAATGTGTACAGAAGATAGAAACAACAACAAAAGAATTGATCATATTAAAAATAATTTTCAGAAACAACAGCAAAAAAAAAAACCCAGCACTCATGATTTATAGAGACAGACTCCTGACCTTTGAACACTTGTGGCTGAAAGAGCTGGTGTGTAGGCGTCCAGACCTCTCTGCTTGCTTTCACATGCATGCCATTTCTACTGAGTTAGAGATCTGTGTGGTTTTGGTTACAAAAGCTTTTCCACTGTGATTAGCTTTCCTTTTGGTCTGGTTTAAGCTTGCCTATGTTCTTTTATAACATAAACATATTCTTGTCCTCTTCATCTTGAAATCCCATTTTGAAATATTCTTAAAAACTTTGGGTTTTTTTTTTTTTGCTTTGTTTTAGACATTGATGTGCATGGTTCTGTGCTTAAGGTCTGTATTGTTAATGGTGATCAAAAGCAAAAAAAGCCCAAACTTCTGCATGTTGCAGAGATGAAGTCTAAAATTTTCCTTTGCTAGGAGCTGGGTGAGAGTTGGCGGAGTTCTTCAACTCCAAGCAGTTTAAAAACATGGGTTTCATGTTGCAGTCTCTGTAACCTAGCCTACATGGGACTCCTTGTCACTGTTAATGTTTGCACTTGTCAAAGGGAACAAAACAGGAGAGGAGAGGAGGCTGTAAGCACCTAAAAAAGTAGGTCAATGGGGCAGCAGGTTATTTGGCCAGAAAAGAGTGAGTGGCTTCATTGAATCATGCCGTAATTGTTTTTCCTCTTTTTGGCAGATTGTTCTACTGTGTTTTAACTTCCTATGTTAATATCTGTGTCTGGTTTTTAACCACTTAAGAGCCTCTGCTAGGTGCAAGGGAAGGAGGAATTTAATTTTTCTAATCGAAAAAAGTGCAGAAATAATTCTGATGTTTTCAGTAGCATTAATGAATCTGAGAGTAGCATAAGCTTTGTTTTTAGATCATGACGTTCGTTTTAGAATTTAATGCTTTTTATAGTAAGATTTGTAGAAAGTTTTATGAACACGTTGTTCAGTGAATTCATTTTATTTTAAGAACAGAAAGCAAGGCAGAGAGAAATGAGATAAAGGCAGGAGGAAAAAAACAATTTCAAGTAACTTAGAAACGTAGGAAGTAGCATGGTGTGAGGGAAAGACTATAAAATACATTCCAATGAAAAATAGTAGTATAATGGAATCAGAAATTGAGGATCACTTAGACTGATTTTCTTAATGCAAATACTGCATTTGTGGGGTTAGTTTGGAATATGTTTTTGGAATGGTTTTTGAACTGGGTATTGAAAGAAGAATTTAATGTCTGTCTGAGGCAGCAGCAATAATGCAGCTGGATGACTTTTCTAGTCACTAACAGCATTCTATACATTCTGCAGTCCTGAGAGTAGCAATTCTGAGAGTTTGAAGAAGAAAAGGCATCAGTGAGAAAGACAGTGGAGGGCCAAGTAAGAGTTTTAGCAGGAGGGACGCTTAAATCATGGTGTGGAGAGCTGCTTTGCAGGTAGCAAATGAAAGCGAAGATGTAGGTGGTTGATACCACATTTAAAAGTAAAAATGATGTCAAGGTTAAAGATAGACATAAAGTGACAGCAGCTTGAAGCAGAGAAGAAATAGTTTTAGTATACACTGTTTAACAAGGAACAGAGCTTTTAAGCAAGGTGAATTCTGACAGTGAAAGCAGGCAGAATATGGCATTAATAAATCACATGAAGACTTTTTTTTATTTAGAAAATATTAATTCTGTGATTAATTGACTTAAAAACTCTCCTTTGTGATTTTTTTACAGTTCATAATTTAATGCTTTTCTGTAAAAGAGGATACTCCACATTGTTCTTGAGAAGAACCAGCGTTTCATCCCTAAACCATACACTTTAACAAGTCCCAAAGTATAAAAGGTAAAATAAAAGGTATTGTTTTAATTAATAAAATTCCTCTGGCTTTCTGTCATCAACACGAAAGGCAGTGGCAAAGTAGTGTCTTTTTTGCTGTAGAACATGACTGAATTTGATTTTTAGAAATACACATAGTCCTTGATTTCTGTGCTGTTTGCATTAAAGTTGCCTGATTTCAGTGTATGTGTCTCTGCAGTCTTTTCCACTGACACGTATCACTGACAGTTGCAGTTTCTTGCTACGTAGGATGCAAAGGGTCAGACCTTGAAAAGAGAGAAAAAAAATTCACTACGTATGCATTTTAGATAGTTTTTAAGTTCCTTTAATTGTTCTGGATGCCAAATCGAATCGCCAGTTCTGATGGAAGATCTGTGTACTGTAGTAAGGGAAACTAGAAACTGAGCACTTTGTTGAAGTGAAAAATATTGACTCTTGAGCTCTGATTCTGCATAAAGAAGATGTCAGCTATGTCACAAGTTGTATTTAGTGACATATGCTTAGCTGTATATTTTTCTTTTGTATATTAATGGAACAGTGTATCATTTAGCCAATGGAATTACATGTTACTCTTGATCCCCATGAGTTCCCAAATTGTTTAAAAACTGATACAAGGTTAAAATTGCAACTACTGCATTCCTCTATCAGTGTTGTATAATCTAAATGAATTCCAATCATCTTTAATTCTGTGCTAGTGATGGTAGATTGCTTTTACAGCTGAGCAATGTAACCTCTGTGCTGTTGCTTACTTCTCACAAAAATTTGAGCAAAAACTTTCAAAATTTATTTTTCTCTTGCCATTTCTGCCTTGTTTTCAAATAATACAGCTTTGTTACTTTATAAACCTTGGTCAACAAATGTAGGGAATTAAGTCTGTAGGAACAGCCAATACAATTGCTGTTTTGAAGTATTTGAATAGTAGAATGGTTTACTTCAAGTGCCTCTACAGGGCACTGGACTTTGGAGAATAAATGCAACACAAAGCTGAACCTTATTACTTGAAGAAGTGGTTAAGAGGGCTCTTAGGCAAAATTGCATGCGCACTCTGTTATGTACCTTGAAGGAGACTGTGCTGCAGCCCAGCTTTCTCATTTATTTTTCTCATTGTACTCAGTTCTGAAGTTTGGTTTGAACATAAGCTTTCTTCCTCAGTTTCCCTTTCTGTCAAAAAACTGAGATTAGCTCTTCCTGGAACATTTTGTTGACTGATTGGATCATGAAGTAGCAGCTGCCATATTTCTTGAGGTATTACCGCTGCTCTGCTGGATTTGGCACTTTCAGAAACAAGTAAATCCTTCCTTCTCAGAAACTGTGATTTACTGAAGTGACTAAAATGAGCTCCTTTGAAATAGATGTAATTCCTGTTTAATGTTAAGTTCATAGCATTTAAAAAACACCTGAAAATCTGCAACTGTAGCTCTTATATAAAACTTTTTGTTTCACACAGTTGTTCCTTAATCTCTTAAATTCCAGTCCTGCTGCTCCATAAGCAGCTTTTGACTACTGACTTTTTTTATGTCAAAGAGAGATTTTACTGCACTGTTTTATCTTTGGCATTCAATCTTTCTGTACACCTTTGTAGATCTGTAATGTTTGGGTACCAGCGAGTAGATATTTGTTGAAATAAATACTTTAATTTTAAATCCCCAAATTTGGAGCCAGGGAAAGGCTTATATTGGCTTTGTCCAAATTTACTGATTATGACATTTAATGAAGCAGTGTTCTTTTAAACTCTGTCATGTAAAATAAAATATTAAATTCCAGGTTATAGTGGTAATGGAGACTAGATTAGAGAAGATGTCAGTACAGAGCAGGAGACTGAGAGGAGATTAAAAGCTGTTTAAAGAAAAAATAAAGACAAGTATTCTCTAGTGAAGTATGTGGTTATTCCTCCAGAGTTACATTTTGTTGTTTTTTTTTTCTTTTCCAACAGGCAAACGTACAAATGTCTACCACAAGACTAAAGTGTGCTATGTTATGTTTTTTACCATAAGCACCCATAAAATGAGCTCCATTGCAGACAGGTATGCTTATAGAAACTGAGTTTTAAGGGAATTACTGTTAAATACTTTCTTTACTGACTTTATTCTTACAGTTAATATACAGAGAATGATAATTTATGCAAAAAAAAAATAAGAGGGGTGAGGTTTTGGCTACTTTTGGCCACTATTTTGATTGTCCTTAAATGTATTGTGTTGTAATAATTGGAAATGGTTTATTTTGTTGCTTGAGATGAATCTTAAAATGTACGACTATTTTCAGACATGGAACAGCATCTGTGCAAGTTGAGTTGATTTTTAGTGCTTACTTGATTTATTTTTTTTTTAAATACTTCACTATTTGATTAAGGAAAACAAATACATTTAAATGATTAGTGGTGCTACATGACAGTAAACTGACCTGGTAACCTATTTCAAGGGAAAAGTAATAGCTGGGGCATGGTTTCTACTTGATTCCTTGCCCTAGACTTTCTTAGCAGCTTGGGTGAACATCTGTCCCTAATGTACTGCTTGTTACCATTTTTCAGATTTCAGGAAATGAGACTTGCATAAAATTTACAGAAAGTTAAGCCCATTCTGAATAAAACCCAATAAATATAAGGGATAAATGTTTTAAAGTACTTACGACTTTTTATTTTTTTAGTGAAGTTTTGCTGAATCTCTCTGAAACTTCAGCATTTTGAATATGTGAATTCTTTCTGAAAGTTTCATGCTAATGTAGTGACAGAAGATAATTATTTCCTAACATCTCTGCTTATCATCATGTATGATTACTTGATGATTTATCGCTGTAAATCAGAGGGATGAAGTAAGCTTTTTGAATGGACAGTTACTTGCCTCAAGGCAAGGAAACAGGTGGTTAAAAAATTAAGGTTGGACATGCAGTAGCCAGTGGGTGGACAACACTAAATAAACTGAATACAGACAGAAGAAATGGGAGAAATAAAATATGAGTCAATTATACAGCAGTTCTGGAAAACAGAAGAACAATTTCATCTTGACTTTTAAAAGGAAATCAAATAAAGTATTGTATAAAGTATACTGAGGCTTCTTAAAAGTAAAATGTTTTCATGTTGTTATCTTAAAACCTCTTTAGCAATACATGCACAATTTTCAAGTTGAGTAAAAATTGTGATACTTGTTTAGGAACCAAATGTAATGAATAATTAGTGCTACTGTTTAGAGTTAACAATATATGCATATATTCATATGCATAAAATTACTTGCATGGATGAACTATAGCATGTTCCCGAGCTCTCTTCTATTACTGACGTATTTAAGGCAGAACAAGTACTTTCTTACTGTAAGTATTTCCAATATTGTAATAGATCCTATGAAAAAGTTGAAGCAACAAATTTCTCCTGTAACATTTTAAAAAGGATAGGGTAAATTCATTATTTAATTAAGAAGATGGAAAAATAGAATTAAATAATTCTTAATTAAATATTTGTGTAGAATTTTGAGTTCGCATTGGAAATATCCTAAAACTAGTTTGGGCTGTGTCAGAAATGTCAGTCTTTATGCTGTCTGTTTAGTAAACAGTCTACAAAAAGTTAGAGCAGCTTGTCTTTGGGTTATTGATGGTGGTCCTTGTGAGATGTTACAGTAATAAAACAGTGCTTCAGTTTCTTGATTTAAGGGAAATGATGTATAATGAGCTCTCTCTTTTGTGTTGTTTTTTTTTTTCCTCATTATTTTTGGTTCTTTCAGAAATGATGGAAGCATTTTTGATGGTCTGGTGGAAGAAGATGACAAAGATAAAGCAAAAAGGTAATTTTTCAGTTCACCTAATTCTAAGAATATCCTGTGCTTGTACCTTTGGACCAAGATTTCTCAGTGGAATAAAAAACATGAGTAAGTTGTAAGTTAAACATTGTAAGTAACCACATTTTACAACATTATTCAAGCGTTTCTGTTGCTGTTATTCTCTAGATTTGTGGCGTATTTGTATTTTTGTCCAACCGGGGTCTATTGCAAAGACCCAAGTGCATCCTTCCTTGAGAAGGATACCATTCTTTCAAAATGTTGCCTGTGGTTTGGAGTAAATGTGACAGTTCTTCCAGCGGGGGTTTGTAATATGTATCTTATTGTAAGTTCTCATAATTGCTATAAAACATTTTCTGTTTCATTTGTCAGAGTGTCTAGAAACAAGTCTGAAAAGAAACGTCGAGATCAGTTTAATGTTCTTATCAAAGAGCTGGGTTCCATGCTTCCAGGTAATGCTCGGAAGATGGATAAATCCACTGTACTACAGAAGAGCATTGACTTTTTACGGAAGCACAAAGGTAACTAACAACAAAAAATACGTTTGTAAGTTACGATAGTATTTATGATATGCACTAAGTACATAAAACATTAACAGTTGTGCAGCTCCTTTAAGGGTATTGTCAAAAATCTAAAGAGCCTCTGAAGAAAGATATTCATGCGATCGTAATTTAGGTACCAGACATATTGCTATATTTTTGACAGTATTTTTCAAAATCAGTATATATATATTTTTAATCCTATAGCTGTTGAACAAGTCTCATAAAGAGAAGCATTTATTTTCTAAATAACCTTGAAGTTGTTTGAGCTGGGCCAATGGAGACCTCTGTCATACAGTTGCTTCATAAGGTGCAAACTGTTAAAGTTATGCTTGTCAAGAGAGCTGTGCTGATCCATTTTAGTTCATGTATTTGTTGGAAGAACTTATTTTGATACTTAGATTCTGCTTTGAGCAGTTGGTTTGTCTCTCCTGCTTCCATATGAAGCAAGATGAATTACTGAAAAAGCTAATCCAAGTGAATCTAAGCCCTCTCTCTGCTATATGACATCTACATGGCTGTCAGCTTTAACTGGGGTGACAGAGCGTTGTGTTCCACAGCAGGCTTTATTGGGCTAGTTTGTTTGATGAGGGAGAGTGGCGTGCCTTGAGAATTTAGGAATGCAGATCTGGAACCCAGGCATTTTCTTTTTACCTTCTAGCTGTAGCACAGAGGGGAAAAAAAGGCAGGAAATCTATAAATGCTTTCAGCTGAACTTTCTCATTTTCGAGACATATCCACTTATATATAAGCCAATGAGTGTATGTTTTGTGAACTTGAATGTGAAATGTCAAAACTAGAAATATCTTTGGACATCTTTGCTGTGCTTTTGTTTCTCTGTTTGTTTGCATCAGCTGATGGGGGGGGGAGTACATTAAGATGAACTATGTTGAAATTCATTACTGATTGTTTTCTTTTAGCCAAAAAAAAAAAAAAACATCTTCTACCAAGCCTACACTATTTATGGCTGATATTTCTGTAAATGGCAAATCCCTATATGTGCTTGTACACTTGTTCTTAATATGGCACCTTGTGGTTCACACTGCCAAAAACAAGATTAAAATTGAAGAAACAAGCTCTTTCCCTAGTTAAGCCATTTCCTTGAGTAGTTTCTTAGCTTGTATGCTAATTAGAAAGCTGTAGCAACAAAGGAAGCAGCTATCAGTTAGCTATAAAATAAAATAAGTAGGCTGTTAAGTGTGTGAATAAGTATTTGTTTATCCCACAGTGTATGAGTTCAAGGTATGTTAAGATATGGTAAATATTCCCTTAGTATTATTAACACAGTTCAAGCATCACCAGATGTGTTTTGCATAGAGCCATAGAATAAACTTAAACTTACTTTTTTTCCTGTTGCTGTTTTCATTCTATTGTTGGTTTTTTTGTTGTTTTTTGAGTGTGTGTTTTTGGTTGTTTTTGGTTTTGAGAATAAAAGAAAAAATGTAGCTGTAGGAGTGGGTATGTTTTAAGGTCTTGGGCATTTGTCCTTGACCTAATGGGACAGAATATTTGTGTGACTGCAGTTATCATATTAAGGTACCTAAAGCTCTGGCAGCCAGTGCCTACCAACATTGTTCTGCACAGGTTTACATTACAATATTTTGCACAAAATGTTGGCTAAGGTCAGATGCTTGCTTTGTCTCCTGAGGTCCTTGGATCTGTTCATTATATTACTCTAGCAGTGAATAAATTGTTCAGCAAAGATTGCCTGCTTTTCTGTTGAAAATCCTACTGTGTTCAGCCACCAGATTTAGATTAAGTATGTTGCTTCTGGCTCTTTCTGGACCACTTCCACTTTGGCTAATCTTGGTACTCTGGGAACAGGTCCAGATGAACTATCTGATTTGTTTATTGGCAAGAGTGGATTCTGCTTCTTATTGTAAACAAACAAACAAACAAAAAACCAGCAGGCTGAGCATACCGGAATTACTCTACTGAGAGCTTGTCACTTTGTAATGCTGCTTTGAATACCTTGAATTTGTAAACAAGAAAAATTTGAAAATGCTAGAATAGTGAAGAATTGATAAATGAGCAATATCCACACTGTGAGGAGACTGGAGAAGCTTTTGCTATTTCCTGCTGGTAATGTGTGACTTAGTGAAAAAGAAAGCGGCTTCTAGGAGTGTGAATCCTTATATTGTATTTTTGTTTTGTTGTAGAAATTACTGCACAATCAGATGCCAGTGAGATTCGACAGGACTGGAAACCAACATTCCTTAGTAATGAAGAGTTCACACAGTTAATGTTAGAGGTATGTTATCTCTACTTTTCTGGAAGTAGAATACTACCTCCTAGGGAGCTGTGAGTCCATGGTGACATTTTTTTGTTTGGTGGCTTATCTTTCATATGCATATTTTAATTCCATCTACATGTTTTCTTGAAGGTAAACAGCTGAATTTTCTATGTACATTAAATGTGTATGGTAGTGAAATAGTTGCTTCTGTTTTAAAAGATTTTGCTAGCTGTTTCTAGTATTTCTCAAGTGTTCTTACAAAGTATGTGTCCACAACTAGTGACTTACAGTTAGAAGAAAATGATGTAAGATTTTTGAATATCTGACCTTTAAAATTTCCTATTTAGAAATGCAATTCTGTTTGGTAATTTTCTACCAAAACTCAGTTTTTTTTTTTCATCAGGAATATGTTTGAGTTAAGTAGAAGATAAAGCAATCAGAAGTGTGTTCACAGTATTTAAGCTTAAGTAAGATCTTGCTACAAGTTTCTCTTGTTGAAATTGGAGACATTGAGACTTTAGATATTGAAATGTGTTGATTTCACCTCCTCTTTCATTTGTTCTTTTTATTATTTCTCCTCCTTTTCTTTCTTTTGCTGCTGGCTCATTTTCCTGAGCTTTCTGGTGTTTAAAATGATGCTGCAATTAAAAATAACGAGCAGACAAGATGGCATGCCACAGAGCCAACCTAACAACAGCTAGATGCGTCAGGACCAAAATCTTGCCTGTGAAATCATAGATTATTTGAGAACAGAGCAATGTGGAAATTGTAATGCTCACAGTGTAAAAGCAAGACTGAGAAGTTTAAATACAGAATTCTCACTGCAAATTCAGTTAAAATTGGTCTAAATTCTTTTCAATGTTGCATATAGCTTAGCATTTTTAATATGCAGTTTCTTTTTATTTAACTGCCTATTATGTTTAATTTCAGGCTCTTGATGGTTTTTTTTTAGCAATTATGACAGATGGAAACATAATATATGTGTCTGAAAGTGTAACTCCTTTACTTGAACATTTGCCAGTAAGTATGGATTGCTTTCAGTAATGTGCTGGTTTGTCTGTGGATAATACTTTACTATCAGTACTAATAATTTCTGTTCTTTTGGGCATTATAGTGCAGACCTGTACAGTATTCTCATGCTTTTGCACAAATCCTTGCTCCTGGTTTGTGTCCTATATTAAACATTTCCTTTGAATATGCAGAATGCAGTCAGTGGTCTCTTGTGCAAGATTAAGAAGTACCAGACTAGCATCAGTTTGTGTTCGACATGGCTATAACAACAGATGTGACTGTAGGAGATCCTTTAGAGTTGGCACCTATCATGGCCTCTACATGAATCAGAAGAATGTTGCTGCAGAGCAGTACCTTGGATTTTTTTTAACTAATTTTTTACTGCTTATTTGCCAAAGAACACTCATGGGAAATTCATCATTGCTGATTCTGCTTATTAGGCTGGGTGAATACTTTGAATTTTATCACATTCACTCATCTTGAATTTTGGTGACATTGCTCACTGCTAAATTAAACGTTCTAGTTTTTAAAAATTACCTTTGAATAATGTTACTAAGAAATGAGAAACATTATTACTCAAAAATGCACAGTTGATGAGTGGAACAGAGCTTTTTCTAGAAAAAGAGGGGGACAAATTATTGGTACAGGCTGGTTGCCTTGTAGTGGTAAGAGAACTTTGCAGAACATGGAGTGACATATTTTAAAAATGGTTCTGCCAAACAAATTCCTATAAAGTATGTATGGTATCAGCTTAAAAATTTTGACAGTTGTACAATTGTGGTTTTTAAAATCTATAGTTTACCTACTTCTCGGAGGCATAGTTATCCATTTCTGTTAGATGTGATTTATATATTCTTAATATATGTTCCTGTGATCTTTTCTGAATACTTTATCAAATAGATTTATGCATATAAACATGCATCAATTTTAATTGAATTCATCTGCACACTCCTAGCACTGTCTATATAGTTGTGAAACTGATGATAAAACACATTCAGAAATCCTTCCCAATTGGATATAATTATTGCAAATATTGTCAACTATGTGTTACAAACTACTGGTTGGATGTGCTGATTGCCACTGACGGATTACAATGCACGAGACGGCCGCTACGTAATTTCTCATCTACATGCTGCTTTATTTACCTCCCAGAGAGATTAATAGAAGTTCCACTGTACTTACATGTCTATGCATATCTGATGCATTCATGGCATTTTCATTAAACGATTCACAGTCTCAAAACAAATGACAATGGTGGATTTTTTTACTTGCAGAGTGTTCGCATGTAATCCAGCAAGTGACGTGAATGAGTTACTAATATTTTAGTGATATTTTTCTGATCTGTGGAATTGCTTTGCACTATAATAGTAACGTTTGTGATTTTCTATGTCTTGCATTATTTTAAAATGTATAAAATGTTTTTTCTTTCAGTCTGATCTTGTGGATCAGAGCGTATTTAATTTTATCCCAGAGGGGGAACATTCAGAAATTTATAAAATTCTGTCTTCTCATCTGCTGGAAAGTGATTCATTGACACCGGAATACTTAAAATGTAAGTAGTTGCATTAAGAACAATCCACTTCATATTGTATGTCATTAGTTCTTTTTTCCAGTGCTGTATAAGTGGAAATGTGTGGATGAGGCATGCAGAATGAAACGTGCAACTTGAATGGGAGCACTTTCATGCTGCGCTGTTCCTCTTTTCCATGAAGAGTAATTTTGTGTTGCATGGCATTTCACTCTATGACTTTGTTTACATGGCTTCTATTTAGACCATTCTAGCAGCTGACAAGAATGAAAACAGGCCATGGGTGTTGGAAGGACATAAAGTTATGTTTTGGGCAGATGCTTGTTTAAAATAGTTCTATTTTTTTCAAGGGATCTGTATGTCCCTGGCATTCAGTCCTTTCATACACACATGCCAAATGAGTTCTCCTTTTCTTTAGCTTAGCTAATATCACACTGGTTAAAAACAAAGGCTGTAGCTATTTGTAATCACCATATTTACAGTATCTTAGTAAAGTACGCAACTTAATTGTTCCTGCTTTCCATTTCTAGTTGCCTGTGTGTTTCATCAACCATGCAATCTTTTAATTTGTTCGTTCTTTTCTCAGCAAAAAATCAGCTAGAATTCTGTTGCCATATGCTGCGAGGAACAATAGACCCAAAAGAGCAACCTACATATGAATATGTAAAATTTATAGGAAATTTCAAGTGTTTGAATAATGGTAAGTAATTTCAGTCACATTAGAGTGGAATACTTTGGGACCTTCATACCTGAACAAGCTTAGGGTGATTATGCAAAACATAAGGAAAACTAAAATCAGTCTTTGAAAAGAAGAGCGTGAAACAGAGTTACATCAATTTTTTGTAATGAAAACAAAGACTGCCCATCAGATATTATATGTATTTGAAGGCAAAATATGAAGTCTTTCAGTTAAAGAAAGCTGCAAAACATTTTTAAATAGTGTAAGAGAAATTTAAGTCGACACTTTAAAGTAAGAGCCTGAATTAATTTAAGTATAATCCATATTTAAGTGGGTGACTGAGTAACTTGAGGATACTAAGTATCCGCTGTTCTCATTATTCTTGCAGTGAGTGAGCTGACAAGTAAAAATGCATATTCTGCACTTCCCCCTCCATTTCTACTTTCAGTTGCAGGAGTTGCTATTCAGATCAGTGGATGGACCATTACAGAATTTCACTTTTCTGCACTGAATGACTTCTCTCATCCAATAAAGTTATTTTTATTCATTATTTCCACTTTTGTATACAGTATCTTAAGTTTGTTTGGGCAACCTGTGCTGAGTAGCTGCTTGAGAGTCACATCTGTTTGGTTAGTCAGACAGGTGGATTGTGGGCTGTGCTCAGTAGATCACTTCTCAAAAAAAAAAAATCATTAGTTATCAAAAACTGTGTCTTGCAAATCAACTGACTTTTTTCATAAGATGAGGAGAGATTGAGTGTTAGAGCCGAAAGCAAGTATCTAATACCAAAGAAAGCTAGAAAAACAGGTCTGTAGAGATGAAATATGGTGTTAGTCTCAGAAAGAGGAGCTGGAGAGCTGTGGGCTTATAAGTTGCAGTTCAAGATTGGGAAATCATAGAATCATAGAGTCAAATACTCCCAAACAAATAGCTGAACTGACTAGGAGCTCAGGAAGCTGACAAGGAGTGGAGTAGCAGCCATTACGGATTTTTCAGTTACAAACAGCATTCACATCCGTTCAGTTTTCTCTACCAGAGTAACACACTGTGTGGATAAGAAAAATAAACTGTATGCTTTGAGACAGCTTTTGACCATGATCATAGTATATATCCATGAACATGTAAGGGAGCACGTGTTAACTGAAATTGTTAGGAGTAGCTGCAGGAACAGGTTGAAAAAGTTACCACAATTCACTGTCAAATGGAAGTTTTGATTTTTTTTTTCTGGGTTTCGTCAGTATTTTCATTTATATTATGAATAAGGGAACATAGTTTGCAGTCATCAGTGAAGCAAGAATGCTAAAAACATTCAAAATGCCACAAGGATAGAAAATAAATTGGTTTTGGGGAGAAAAACAGGCACATTTGTTAAGAACAAATGCAAAATGCTGCATTCAGGGATAACCAAGTATATAGTGGAAAAAGGATTATAGACAGTTAAATAATATTCCTTTAGAAAAAGTGCTTACTGTGGAAGGGAAATTGAACATGGCCAAAGTGCTGCGACCAGTCATCAGATTATGAAATTTTAGTGGTGAAAATTTCTCTATGGTTGTGTTCCTATTAATGCCTTTTTGTATATGTGTATGTATTCTGTGTAGCAGTTTTCACATTGGTGACAAATTCAGAAGAAACGACATTAGATAAATACCGATCCATTTGTCTTGTGACGTGACGTGTGTTGTAACCTCTGTTGAGCTCTTCTCTGCCTTCCCTCAGTTCCCAATTCAGCACACAATGGTTTTGAAGGAACTATTCAGCGATCGCACCGGCCTTCATATGAAGACAAAGTTTGCTTTATAGCCACAGTTAGATTAGCTACACCTCAATTTATCAAGGTATGCACATTTCTATCATATCACCTTTATATTATTTTAACTCTGAACAGGAAAACTTTAGAGAAAATGCATATGGCACTTCAGATATTATTGATGAAAGTCATGAGGGATTCTGTCATATGAAACTGAAAATATCTGTGTTTCTTACTATGGGGTACTGTTGCAAGCTCCTGCAGTAGCTGAAGTAGAGATTTAGAGTACTCTATCCTGTTTGTAGAGCTGCAGTGAGGTGACCATCTTCCTAGTGGTACTTCTTACCCATTATAAACACATACGGCTTGTATTACTGTGCTTGTAGATGCTGAGCATGAATGTACTGGCTGCATTTAAATCAGCTGAGTTTCAGCCTAGCATAACTGACATTAGATTCTACCACAGTGCTATGCATCTAGCCAAAAATCTCAGTGAAATTTACAAATCTTATACCTGTTGTGAAGTTACCCACTAACTTCAGGTAAGCCTGAATTTAAGAAGAGCTTGTGAATTAGAATAGAGCAGTTTTGAAAGAGATGATTTTTTTTTCACTTTTTAGGAAATGTGCACTGTTGAAGAACCCAATGAAGAGTTCACATCTAGACATAGCTTAGAATGGAAGTTCCTATTCTTGGATCACAGGTGCTGCAATTCTTTCTATATATAGCAGCAATAGTAGCTGAATCACTTTTAATGGCTATAATATGTAGAGTTCACTAATCAATATTAATTAATCATAGCTTATGTTGGGTTTAATTTTTTTTTTCTCAGAAAAATGAAAAATAAAAAATGCAAATGCAAAAAAAAATGCAAAAAATGTATATAGATTTTTTTTTCTTGTGAAAAGAAAATGACTGTAAATTTTCTATTAAATTAGGGCACCTCCAATAATAGGCTATCTTCCATTTGAAGTTTTGGGAACGTCAGGCTATGATTATTATCATGTGGATGATCTAGATAATCTGGCAAAATGTCATGAGCATTGTGAGTATGACCAAGTTGCTAAATTGAGTTAATTTGCTTTCTAGATGTTCAGTTTAAAGTTTGATAAGGGTTGAGTGAAGTTTTCTTGTATTTACGAGTGCAGTTTCCCTACTCCTATTCACTTGATGATATCATACTACTGATATTGGTATTTTTCTTTTGGTACTGAACTGGAAAACAGATTCAACTTTTAATTTTAATTTAGATTTTTTGTTGTGGTGAATCGGTGTGCACAGCACTCTGATTAATACTTCTCCCATTCTTCTAATAGCATTTAAAAGTCTCTGTGACATTTAATAAATACAAAAACTGTCTAGGCATGTGATAGAATAAATTTTCTGTTTAGCTATGATTTTCTTCAATTTTTTGCATATGAGTATTTCACTGTATATAAAAGCTCTACAGAAATGGTAAATTGAATTTTGCATTTCTCAGACAAGTGCAGATTCTTTCTGGTAGAAAACTACAATTTTGATTCTCTTCTTAGCCTTAGTATCAGATTGAACATGAGCTTGGTTGGGAGTTGAGAAGAAGAGTTGGGAAGTTATGCTTATTATATAATTTAAGTATTTATAGACTGGAAAGACAGTAAAATTTATTCCTCACTTTTACAGTAATGCAATATGGGAAAGGGAAGTCATGTTATTACAGATTCCTTACAAAGGGACAGCAATGGATTTGGCTGCAGACACATTACTATATCACATATCACCAGTGGAATTCCAGGCCAGAGTTTATTGTATGTACGCACACAGTTGTAAGGTAAGTTTTCCGTGCTAAATCCATAGAGATATTTAGATTACATGGAAGCTGTATTGCTAGCTAGTATTTTTTTGAGATAGAGAATAATAAATAGTAAAGAATTACTGGAAAACTTCCTGTGGTACTTTGTAAGGAAAATACTTTGGAGGAGTTTGTTTTCTGAGATGTGGTTTTAAAATCATCTATGGATTGAGCAGTCGTATTTGGTTTGTTCTTCTAGTTATGCAGAAGTCAGAGCAGAAAGGCGGCGAGAGCTTGGTATTGAGGAGTCTCTTCCAGAGATAAAAGCAGATAAAGTGAGTAACAAACATTTTGTTTCACTTCATTTCATAGCAATAATAACATGTAGTAAATACTTAGCAGCAAGAGTTATTTGTCCTTTTAAAGTAATTATTTCAATTGTTAAATAGTATGTCTATTTGAAGTTCATAGTTTATGATAGTATGTATTATATAATAGTATAATATTCATAGTTTATAATAGTATGTCTATTCAAAGTCACTAAGGAAGTTTAGGAAGGATATTTAACTGTTATTCCACTCCTCTTCTCAGCAGTTTATATACCTGTAATTATAGCATGTCAATTTCCCTAAGTCCCTACTATGATCTGATTTCTGCAGTTAGGTTCATACATAAATATTCTTCCTTCCTGGAAGGATCTGTAACTTGGAAGAACAAGGTCAGCACACAAAGGTGGTAAAGGAATTCACAAGAAAGTAGGAATTGTTTCCTTATGTGACTCTTCTATTTCTTAGATGTATGCAGGATTCATTCTAATTGAACATCCTTGGAAGCTCAGCAAGTCTTAGTTGAGCCAGCTTGTACAGATACTCCGTGGTGTTTTTTCCTTGGCAGTTTAGAAAGTTTAATCTGGCAGTGCACCTTCTAGTGGAATTAACTTTTCTTTCTTCAAAAGAATAAGCAGTTCACTCCTAACACAGGTGTTCAGACTTAACTGAATTGCTGGAGAAGCAGGTCAGCTCAGCAGTCAATTTGTGACATGTCTGCATGATTTTGTTTTCTAGGCTTCTGTGGCTTTGTTTTGTTATAAAAATTGTTATAAAAGAGTAGAAGTTACAGAAGCAAAGCAGGACGCTACTTCTGTGCAGTTAGCGATGAAAGGGGTTGATGAGCTGCTGTGTGGCCTCAGATACTTTCTTACTGAAATGTACAATGTGGGCTGAATCTGATAAAATAGCTGTTGTTTCTGTGTGTCTCTTCAGAGTCAAGACTCTGGATCTGATAATCACATAAACACAGTGAGCCTCAAAGAAGCTCTGGAAAGATTTGATACCAGCCCCACACCTTCCGCTTCCTCCAGGAGTTCAAGAAAATCTTCACATACTGCAGTATCAGATCATTCATGTAAGCATCAACTACTGAATATATAATTTTCTTCTTAACGAAGACTTTCTCTGCTTTACTTAATGAAATCCAGCTCTAGCAGTTAATCATCATTTTATTAAGAGTGTGCAGATGAGAATGTCCTTTATGATGGGTCACAGATACTCTAAGATTTCCCACTAAGATTTTCAGACGCTGTGTAATGGTTTCTGCTTCTACAACTGCAATAGCAGCCCCTATACAGCCCTGTTTCAGTCCATCAGATTGCATTATTGTTGGATATGCAAGGAAAGGAAAAAAAAAAAAGAAAAAAAAAAGAGTCCAAGTCCAAGCCTTAAGCTTTTTCTATTCTGGAAGATCTTCCTATGATTTGAATATTGCATTGCAGAATTGAGATTACTATTAATACATTTCATCTTCTTGTAACAACTTTGTCAGCGACACCAACTAAAATGACAGTGGACACTAGCACTCCCCCAAGACAAAGCTTATCTGCTCATGAAAAGTCTACACAAAGAAGATCATCTCTGAGTAGTCAGGTAACTCTTTGAAGAAACATTTTTATACTTAAATCAGTGCATTTTTCCTTTAAAATGTGTTATTAAATTCATGTGACCTTCATTCTATTTCCTCTGAAAACACAACATTTAAACTATAAGACTTTTACTTGGGATATTTGGCTATCATTTCTATGTACCTTCAGTATACTACATTTTAAGGGAATGCAATAATTGAGCATGTAGGTATTTATGTTTTGGGCTTCAGAATTCATAGGAATTGTATCTGAGTCTGTGCTTTCACTCACACATAACTTCTTTATATGACTCTGCATTTTATTTGTATCTGTGTGTGTGTATAAAACTATATAATAATTTCCAACGTAATGCTGTGTGTCCCTATAGGTTATTCATATAGGCTTATACCTCTGAGAATATCAGCAAATACTGTAGTATGGTTTCTGAAATCGTAATAATGTGACAAAATACAATGCTTCGTGTGCTTAGTGCTCGTATTGCACTGTATATATATGATAACACATTTACTACAAAAATAGAATAGTGTATCAAATTATGTATTCTGCTAATATGCTGAGTATTAGTTTAAGAACAGAAGTGTCAACTTCCAAACTTGTTGGAAAGTTTTTGCCCTTATTGTGAAAAAGAATTTTGAAGCAGCCTTGTTTTTCCTGTTTTATACCTGCTACTACTTATATATTTTTATCAGGGAAGCAATTATATAGAGATTATGTATATTACAATATTTTTGTGTGTGTTCTTAATTCTTTAATATTTAGTCTTAGGCATTTCAAGAAATACACTTGTTTTTTTCATATATTCACGTGATGCCATTTTGGAATTGAATTTGTGTAAGGAAATATTTCATGTCAAGTATGAAGTCCATTCTCTTCTAGTTATGGAACAATTTTTTTTTTAATCGTAGTCTTTAAGCTCCCAGTCTCTTGGACAACCAGTAACACAGCCAACGATGTCTCAGCCTGCTACTTTACAGCTCCAGTCCAGCATGTCCCAGGTATGGATTAAGTTGGTTTGCTAAGTTGTTTTATTATTTCTTTAACAGTCTTGATCTGACTGTAAAGTTAATTTCTCTTTCAAAAACTGAGTTCTTAGATGTCAGAGTTGCCTTCAGTGTTTTTCTCAAAATGAGCCAATTTCTGTTTGACAGAACAGTACCATGTGAATTACTAAAGTCTTTATAGGGTCTTAGTGATTTGAGTGCCAGTCAATTTCTTTTGCTGTGATTTGTTTTGTTTTGTTCTAAGCAGACTAATTCTGATGCGTCAGTTAAACGTGTCGACATGAAGTCTGTGACATTTTTGTACTGATGATTTTGTCCTTGGTTGATGACTACTAGCAGTTTAAAAAACAGTGCCTGATTTCTTCGCTAGTCTGGAGGAGTGTATTTACTCCTTGTGAATTAAATGTGATTATTTTTGCTCAGCTTATAATTTATACATGGCACTACAGCCTGTCTTTCAGTTTTCAGCTCAATTAGGAGCTATGCAGCACCTAAAGGACCAGCTGGAGCAGAGAACACGCATGATAGAGGCAAATATTCATCGGCAGCAAGAAGAGTTGCGGAAAATTCAAGAACAGCTGCAGATTGTCCACGGTCAAGGACTTCAGGTGAGTAAGTGTAACTCATACACATTTGATCCGTAGAGAATTTAGAGATCTAAAATGAGATTTAGGCACTTTATTCCAAAATGGGATTCTCTGTACTCCTTGTCAGCTGTCTTCTGGATTTTGTGTGCCTGAAATTCATAGAACTAATGTTATTGTTCCTGAGGTATTTATAATTTTGCTTCTGAATGTATCCAGTTGTGCCCCTCTGTATTCATTCAATGTTGAGTGACTTGTGCTACCTAAATGTAAATGAATGTGTTGTAGTGGTTATTACTTCTTGAATAGCTCTGCAGCCATTAGAATATTCATTCTAAATGTGCAAAATGAATATTTATTTCCCCTTTTAGCTCAGGGGTGTAAAAATCACTGGATTTTTACATTGGATTCATCCAGCCTCTTGGATGAATATATACCTCTTAGAAGATTGTCCCAACTGTCAGGCTTACAGCCTCTATCAAACTCTTCTTGTGAAGTGGTTATACACTGTGTGGCATTCAGAAGTAGTTATTCAGCCACAAAGACAGGAAGTCTAGAGGACTAGAGGGAATGGTCTCAAGTTGTGTCGGGGAGGATTCAGTCTGGAGGTTATACAATGCTGCTTTTCTGAAAGAGTGGTCAGGCAGTGGAATGGGCTCTCCAGGGAGGTGGTGCAGTCACCAACCCCAGAGGTGTTCAAAGAATGTTTAGGCATTGTCTTGAGGGACGTGGTTTAGTGAGAGCTGTTGGCGATAGGTGGGCAGTTGGACTGGATGATCTTGTAGGTCTTTTGCAGCCTCGGTGATTCCATGATTCTATGCATTACCCAGTCTAGCAGCTGAGAGTAACAAAGACCTGACTGCCTGACTTCTGTATTTTAACCAATATATGTATTTGATGGATTTTTAATTTTGTAATTCTGTTTTCAGTATCTATATTGGGAAGAAAAGAATTGTTTGATATGATAAGAATGATATTGATTGGACTTTTCTAGCTTAATTAAAAAGTGCCAAAGCAAACAAACAAAAAAACTAAACATCATAAGAAAGAATCTTAATATTTTCAGCGTGCACTGTGAATAAAGAGTAAAACGATCTATACTTCCTGGAAGTATTGAGTATGTTGCTTAAATTCTGTTGTGGAATAAGAATTTCTGGCATGTGCTTTTTTGTGTTTCACTGTGATCTCATGTAAGCCTTCCAGCAGTAGATTGCTTGGGAGGTGCTTGGAAGGAGAGATTCACAGCTATCATCCCATGCACTGCAAAGGGACCTTATTTAGGACTATGGAAAGTAGAATACAAAATTGAAGTGCTGCACATTCTACATTATTACACTGAGTCATTGTAGTTTTTAGTCTAACATTGTGTAAAGACTCAAAATCCTTTCATGGTAAATTCAGTTTATTGAAATGAGGTAATATTGGAAAATACAGTATAACCAGTATGGCTTTGTAATTGCCAAGGAAGCACTTTCTTGGTGCTATGTCTGTATCAACTGATACTGAGATTTTTAATTAGTTTCACTTCTAGAGGCTCGACAAGTGGAAGCAAGATCTCTAAAGAATTTAATCTTTAGGTAGTTACAGCCTACATTGTAAGTAATATTTACAAATATTGCTTCTAATTTAAAACCAGATACTAAGTGTCAGTGTTAAGGGCTTTAAAATTCAGGATTCTCATTCTTAGCTGTTAGAGTCTCTGAATACAGATCCTGTATGGGACTTAGCCCTTCGCTCTTGGTAATTGCAGTGCTGTTTGGACATCTAATAGCTGGAATGAAGCTTTATCTTGTATTAATATCATAAGAAATTAATTTTAGTTTTTGTGTAAGATATTGAATAATTAACAGAGTTTTCATAAGAACTAATTTTAGAATTTTTTTTAAGATGTTCTTGCAGCAGTCAACTTCTGGACTAAACTTCAGTTCTGTGCAACTTACATCTGGAAATTCTTCAAGTGTTCAGCAACTTGCACCAGCAAACATGCAAGGTCAGGTTGTTCAAACTAATCAGACTCAAAGTGGGATGAGCACAGGACATACAAGTACACCACATATGATCCAGCAACAGCCTTTGCAGAGCTCTGCGTCACAGGTAAAATTCTCACTAGTGAGAAATGCAGTAATAGCTTTCCTGACGTCTCCCCCTCCAAATTTTTTGTGACTGTCCTTCAAATCAAGTTTATTTCTTGTTCAAAGTTTTACAATTGAAATGTACTTATGTTCTTGCTAATGCAATTTCACGCCTTGCTTTAGTTTTAAAACTTAGAAATGTGAATAATTACAAGTATAAATAATTACAATTTACAAATGGAAATAATTCCAAATGCTTTTTGGAAAAACCAATATACAGAAAACAGCTTGCCTTTTTGTGCATTTTTATGAATTTTCTACTGACAGAACGTACAGCATGAGAACATTTGTACTAATTGAGGTTGAAATCCAGACACTGATCTCTACAGTAAATGCCTAGAAGAACATAAGAACAGGAAAAGCATATATTGATGATTCTGAAGTTGACTTTTTTGCTCCTCAGCAATTTCAGTCAGATGCCATAACTGATACCTTTTGCATTTTAAATGCCTTTGATGGATTTTTCTTCTATGAGTTTATCCAGTTTGTTTTGACTGCATCTAAACTTCTGAAATACAGAGTATCTTGCAGTGAGTTCTACAGCTTTAGCTGCTGTGAAATTTGTTGTTTGTTTTTTAAACCTGCCACCTAGCTTTTATCCTGGGAAATACACTGAATAGTTACTTTTCATCTTCACCATGCATAATTTTGGAGTCTTCTGTTGTATGCATATAAGTCTTTTTCTCAAGCTGAGGAGTTTTAATGTGCTTGACAGTTTTATGGAGAGGTTGCTTATAATTGTGATCTCTGTGGTCATCCTCCTCTTTCCTTTTTTCCAAATCCCATACTACTTTTTAAAATTTGTGATGAGACAGAGTAATGGTGGACAGTTTATCACTTTAGCATTAAGTTAGTTCCAGACTTTGAAGTATGAAATTGATTGAGGTAATGTGCGTGTTTTAATGTGGCACAGAGATGCTAAAGGAATGGAAGACAGGATCTTGAACAAACAGTATGCAAGCAGATGAAATATTAAGGAAAAAGATATTCTGAAGAGGAGAAGAGATTAAGAGATTTTCAGATGCCCTAGAGCCAGTCACACCTCCAAATCCTCAATTGATAGGAAATACCTGTCTGCTTTAAAGTAAGAATTCATTTGTAATAGAAAAACATTAGCAGTTGTAAAGCATGGGTAATTACATTGAGGAAGATGACTGTAGTAGCTGGCTGTTTTCAAGTGACTGATTCATTACCTATTCTTCCTTTACAGCATAATCAACAAAATGTGCTTAGTGGGCATGGTCAACAATCTTCTCTTGCCAGTCAGTCACAGAACACAGTCTCAACACCTCTGTATAACACTATGGTGATTTCTCAGCCAACAACCGGCAATGTGGTTCAGGTTCCTTCTAGCTTACCACAGAACAATAACCAGAATGCTGCTGCAGTAACTACTTTTACACAAGATAGACAAATCAGGTAAGTTTTCAAGACCACATTGGGATGACTTGTAGCTATGTAACCACAGCATTTATGATATCATGTATGGAAAAGTAGCATAAAACCCATAGTATTTGTTACTGTAATCACACAGCTGTTTAGGTAAACTTTACCCAAGACAGTGCATTCATAGGCTTATCATAATCAGTAGTGCTACAACAAGGCATGAGCCTGACAAAAGCTGCATTTGTCAAGAGCACCTAAGGCTTGATGCATTTTTCCTAAAGTGATGCCAAATGTCTTTTCTGTTGACAGATTTTCTCAAGGTCAGCAGCTTGTAACAAAACTTGTCACAGCCCCAGTAGCGTGTGGAGCGGTAATGGTACCAAGTACTATGTTTATGGGACAGGTGGTGACAGCTTATCCCACTTTTGCTGCCCAACAGCAGCAGCCACAGACTTTGCCAGTAACACAGCAACAGCAGCAGCAGCAGCAAAGTCAGCAAGACCAGCAGCAGCAGCAGCAGCTCACTGCAGTTCAACAACCAGCTCAGCCACAGCTGACCCAGCACCCGCAACAGTTCCTACAGGTAGTGTAGCATTCTCTAAAAATTTGTCAGTCCTTTCAGCATGCTTATTTTAGGATTATCTTAAAATACTTAGGCTGCCATGAAAGTAATGTCTTGTATTTATTTCCATGGAAACTGCAACTGATACAGAGAACAACAAAGTAACACTATTTGATTGAGCAACCTGTCAGCTACAAAACAGTTTCTCAACATGGTCTGTACCATTAGCTGTGCATTTTCACCAGCAATGGACAAGAGCCTGAATGCTATGATTGTAAAAATCCGCACTGACAGAGATGACCCACTGTTACATAGCTGCTATAATGATATTGTTGCTAGAAAGATGTTGCCCATGCAGTCTATCTTTCATTGGTCCAAATAGATGGAAGTCAGAAGGTTGCAATCCAGACTATATGGTGGTTGTGGTAGAACAGTGCAGTGAAGACTGGCTGTGTGTTCTATGGTCTTTGAGCTGATGTGGGACCAGAGATTACTGTGTTGCAAGAGAAAGATTGTCTTCTTCTGTAGCCTTACTCTGCTGGTTTGGGTCTTCAGCTTAGTCAGCATTGTGTTACATTACTCAGAGTTGATGGTTTGTCCAACTTCCAGGAAATCCAGGATTGCACTGTTCTTATCCTAAAAGTTAGTGCACATCACTTTACCTGCTGAGGGTTGTGTCTGGAACTACTTCTTCAGTGGGAAATTCATGCATCACCATTCCATGGACTGTCATTTTAACTCCAGCTCATAGCAGTGACACCATGTCTTGTCACCACTTAATGGTGCAATCCAGTAAACTGTCACCTGCAGCATCATATTGGTTCAGTAGGTCCTGACAAGCTTGCATAAGGTGCTCTTTCTGTTCCTATGTGAGCATTTGTGGGACACATCTGGTGCAAACCTTGCAATATTCTAGCATTGCCACCATCATTTCCAACGCAATGAAGCTGAACTTCAGCTCTGCACACAGTTCCCTGGTCATAATCTGCTGATTCTTGTGGTGAGCTGATCAAGATGCTCTTCATTTCATGGTGTGACAGCTAGTGGCCATCTAGAATGACCACTAAGGTCATTTAGTCTAGTGCCAACCCATCATCCCATACCCACTCTAACCATGCCCCTCATTGCCACATGGACATATTTCTTGAACACCCCTAGGGACAGTGACTCCACCAACTCCCTGAGCAGCTTGTTGAACAAACTTTTTTGCTATGTGCAGTCTCCCTTTTTCAATAAAAGAGGTTTCCTGGATAAAGGTGGAATTTCTACAATGGAGTAAGTAGCTGGAAACTCAAGCTAAGTTTATATGGACAAGGAATAGTTAAGATTCCACTTATGGATGAGTAAAATTTTCTTTACCTGGGCCAGTGGCAGAAAATAGTAGCTTGTTAAAAAGAAGGAAATGGAATTTCCATAAGAAATGGAATTTTCCATAAGAAAATAGAATTTCAGCCATTCATCTGCAAAGGCTTTTTAACTGCAAGCTGAAATCTCTGATCAAAAAGAGAACTGAAGAATATCTAGTTACTTGAATTTCAGCACTCATTCATGCTGTTTAGCAGGTAGGTAGTGTCTGTCCCTGCTTTTATGCAGTTTTGCCTTCATTCTTTTGAAAACAAGGTTTGTGAAAGATAAAAATCTTCAATGGTCTGTTCCTGTCCTGGCATTTCTTTCTAGGCAACAGTTTATGGTTTTTAATATAAACTGGTCAGCTCTCTCTCTCTGTTGAAGTGCTAGAATTTGAAGAAAAGCACATGGTGTGTTGTTGTTTGCTTTTTTTTCCCTCGCTTTAAAGAAGAGAGAAAAGGAGGCTTTTCCTGCTTGCGTTCAGAATAGAATAGAATAGAATAGAATAGAATAGAATAGAATAGAATAGAATAGAATAGTTTGGATTGGAAAGGACCTCAAAGATCATCAAGTTCCAAACCCCCTGCCACAGGCAGGACCACCAAACTTCCAGATCTGGTACTAGATCAGGTTGCCTAGAGCCTGATCCAGCCTGGTGTAAATACCTCCAGGGACGGAGCATCCACAGCCTCTCTGGGCAGCCTCTTCCAGCAACTCACCACCCTCTCAGTAAAAAACTTCCCCGATATCTAATCCAAATCTTCCCTCTTTTAGTTTAAAACTAGTCCCCTGTGTCTTGTCACTTCCTACCCATGTAAAAAGTTGATTTCCCTCATGTTTATGATCTCCTTCTCACAGTCTGATTCTGCAGGTGAGAGAGTGATGTAGTTGTTGTGGATTGAGATGTCCAATTCCTTTTGTACCCGTCCTTCACTGCTTTTTCTTCAGCACCATCATCTTTTGTTTCTAAGAAGAGTGACATTAAAAATAAGTGTTACTTGCAGTAATGATTAATCCCCTTCAAAGGAGATGTTTGGGTCTGCAAAAGCAGCAGCTTCCTTGGTTTTCTTCCTTAGATTTTTATCCAGGGATAAATTTGATCTTTGCGAAGTCATGCTTTGGTATGCCAAGGCACTGCTTTCTATGTGACTGCAGTAACAGATGTGTATGGTTAAAATAGATTCCTTAAGCCCCGTTATGCTCTTGTGTTCTGAAATGGGGACAAATTGCCATGTGCTGTACCCATTGTCACAGGAAATTGCGAAGACCAGCTGCTTTATCAAATGCTCTAAGTATCTCCATTAAAGCCAACTAATCTTTGTGGTGTTGGTTCAGCTTCAGTGACCAAATCAGAAGTTTATTTTGACTGAATTCTTCCACAAAGTCAACAAGCAGCCAGGCCTGCAGTTCTCAGAGCAGCAGAAAACATGATTTTCTTCTGTTTGCATGTTTTAGACATCCAGGTTACTTCACGGGAATCAGTCAGCTCAGCTTATCCTCTCTGCTGCTTTCCCACTACAGCAAAGCACTTTTACTCAGTCCCACCACCAGCAGCACCAATCGCAGCAGCAGCTCTCACGGCACAGAACTGACAAGATGACGGATCCTTCCAAAGCGCAGCCGCAGTAGCTGGGGGCTCTGCCTCTCCTGGAAGCCAGCTCCCAGGAGGGGGCTGCTCCATAACCACTCGCACTCAAGTTGCAGAGGTAGCAGTACAAAGCCTTTCTAACGCTGCGGTGTCGAGACCTACAGCTAACTTCTGGAATCTGTTGAGGAAAACCACCAGGTGATGGCAGGGACGCGGCCAACTTTGATCGTTGTCCCGGTTTCTGTGCTCTAAAAGGTTTGCTGCCATGTGTCGATTTGTCCAGGTGAAATCAAAAAATGTGACTGAAATGAAAGGAATGCTGAAAATATTGGTATTTTTTATCAGTTCTGTACATTTTTAAAGTATTAAAATGGACACAGAGCAATTGTTTGATTTAGGAGAAAAAATGCCAGGAATATAGTCCGACAAACATCTAATTTTTTCAGATGATTATGGGACAGTAAATATTTTGAAAATGTTGTGTGAAATCCAGTTCTCTGTTGTACAGATGCTGTAAAATATTGTGTATATGTCTGCATAAAAGGAGAAAGAGCAAAATATTTTATATGATGCATGAAATGTAATCTGTTATTTGTAGGTTTGAATATGTTCCCCTACATTTTCACACCATACTCAGACTGACGTTTTCCTTTGTTCTGCCCCTTTGTTTACAACATGCTGCATCGTTACTTTCACCCTCAGTGTGGGCACAAGTCTCTCGTTTGTGCTTCGTGATGTCACAGTCTGCTCTGTGAGGTATGGTGTGTTGGTTCGTTGACTTCTCGAGGTTAAATTATGGATGAAGCCGTTTGAACTGGTGGTCGTGCATCAGGGTTCAGGGTGTTCAGATTCATGAGTATCATCCATCGTTTCATACCTAATTCATTTTATTTGAAAAAAAAAAAAAAACAACAAAAAATAGGAATTTGCACTGCTTCCTTGCGGATGGTTTGGAATTTTATTCCCCAAAGCTATCTTTTGATATAGTTCATAGTTGGAAATATTTATGTAAAATGTTAAAAAAAAAAAAAAAGAAAAAAGAAAAAAAAAAAAAAGACGGTAATTTTCAAGAATGTTTCAGTTATAGGAGTAATTTGCACAAAAAATATATTTACATTTAATAACCTTTTGGGCACTTTTTAACCACTTTCTCTGTGGTGAGAATTGTAACTTGTTAAAATATGTTGGAATCTTTTTATTCTCATTCAAAAATTAGATCTTTCTTTAGTCAGAACTAATTCAGGGTCATTTTAACAACGACAGAAAAACCCATAGTGCCTTGATTTTAATTCAGGTGATAATGTTGAACATCTTGACTTGCAGTGTCTCGAATCTGTAACCATTCTCGATTTTGAAGTCTTAGTACATTGTCAGCCAAACTCGTGTATCTACTTCATAGCTGTTTCTGCATCGTGATCATCTCAATAACGATCTGAGTTGAGAACGTGAGCATTTTTGAGTGCTGCTCCCCCTCAAACACTAAGTCAGAAACTGAGGAGTCTCTGCAATCTCAGACCTTGAAGGTATTGTTCTTGAAGATGTAAAAACAGAGAGTGCTCCTTCAGTGGGAGCAGGGAGGGTAACCTGATCTGAAATAGAGTCAAAAATCATATTTGTAGTGTTTAGAGTATGTCTTGGGGGAGACCACGGTCGATTTAGGAGATATCACTGAACTAAGACTTCAGAAGGCAACTTCACTTTATAAAGAAAATAAAAAGTTCCAACAGATACGATGTGCTATTTTAGGTAGGGTTTTATGGTACTAGTTTGTGAAAACCACAACTTTAGAGGAAAATAAATAAACACAGATAGATCTGAGAATTAAGATAAAACAGCAAAAGCAGTTAAAATTAGTAGTAGGGAGAGAAAGCTGGATTAATCTTGAATACTGAGGAGGAGTTGAATGAATGTAACCAAATGGTGATGGACTGTTTTGTTCTCTGGAACAGTTTGATTGTATTACTGGGTGAGCCAAACCCACAGGAGGGTGGCACCAGTTCAGCGAGCGCCCCATGCCATCGATGGCATTTTGGGGCTGGCCTTGGCCTCTCCGGGTGTCCCACCATTGCATCTTTGTTGTTCCCCACTTACAAAGCAAGAGTTTGGTACCAAAAAGCACAGTTGTGAACAAGGAAGGAGTGTGAGAAATACAGTACCAAAGAGAGTTAGATTGCGCTCTGCTCCAGGAGGCCTCTCGCAGCAAGGAGCAGGTGCCAGTGCCAGACATTGCAAGGGCAAATTCCGCTTCTCTGAAAGGATTTCTGCCATTCTCTGAGCTGGGATAAGGGTCAGAAGCCCACTGCTGTAGAGCTCTGTGTAACGAAGTTTGCCTTGCTCTGCTCTGCTGCTGCATCATTCACCTGTTTCTAAAATAAGCTGTGTTACCAGAGGTCTGCGCTAGCAGCACTGCTGCTTAATGGAAGTAGGTTAGAGAAAAAATGTTACCCGTTTACGGTGATAACAGCACTAAAAAAGAAACCTGGGAGAGCTTTAATGGTGCTGTTAGAACTACGGAATAGTGGTAAAATAGGTTTATTAAGCTATTATACTGAGAATTACAAAAAATAGAAATAACAGCCAGCCAGTTAATGATGCAGCTTTTTATATGAAGCTCCATTTAAACTTCTCTTCCCATTCCCCCCCTCCCCGATACTCTCTTGTGCTGCTATAGGTCTGTTGGTAAAACGCTGAACTAGGTGAGAGAAAATAGATGACAGTGATAGCAGGGCTGCTGAAAGAGAATAAAGAAATGTACGCTTTGATCAAGAAGCTTTTTGTAACCTCGGAGAGAGCTCATTCAATTACGGAGCTACCAGCCAGTAGACAAAGCATGGAAGGTGGGGAAATTCACAGAAACTGGAAAAACACAGCATCCATTTGAAATATACTTACCGTGAATCAGGCAGATTTTATACAGAAGTACGCAGAACTTGTTCCGTGTTCTGTGCAAGGACGCAAATGCTTTGTTTCACAGCTGCTGACTCAAAGGTGTGTATTTCAGGTGTCTGCCGCTTCCCCCTTGCTGAATCAGTTGCTGAGCTGCTCTTGATTTTAGTGGGAAGAGGACCAGGCTGTCGCCTCTTTCTTAATCAGCCTTTTGCTTCTGACTGACTTATTTACTACAGTCATAGATTTTTTGCAACATCCTAATCAATAGCATGATAAGGAATGCTGCGATGCTGCAGGGTCTGGGGTGCAGATGTCACAGAATGACTCTGACAGAAGGGAAGGAATGTTAAGGAGAGGGTTGTATTTGTGAAGGCGCAGTCTGGTGGTATGGAACGGCGTGAAACAGTTGCATGGAGTTTAGAAGACAGACATTGTTTGCCAGCGATGGGTGAGGATTTGAAGAAAAGCTTCTAGGAAAATTACAGAGAAAAAGAATATATAGCTATTTTTATATTATATTTAATATATATTTGTATATAAATATGAAAAGATTCTAGTAGGAGCTCTCCATATGCCTTCCATTTCATCTAGAAGATTTACCTTCTGCACTATGGTTCCGGTGTGTCGCCACTTGTGTGGGCATCCTGCCTGCTGCCAAACACCAAAATCAGTAACCCAGTATCCTTACAACAGGTAGGTTTCATTTCAGCTTTATGTAAAAAATTAATTAAAAGAAAGCTATATCAGACAGTTTTTCATGGAAAAAGAAATTCTCTTTAAGATTCAAATAGCACTTTCTATCTTTTATTTTATTTTTATTTTTTGGAGTAATAAGAAGCACTTTACTGAAAAGACTATTTGAAAACCAGTTTATTTCTTTAGTCAGTGAAACTGTTAAGGGGGGGGGCATCAAGGAATGATGTGTAAAACTGTCAGAAACGTTTCTGGAAAATGTTTCTTTAAGACAGTGATCCTTTGAGGCTCAAAGTGCAAGATGAAAAAGGCTTCTAGAACTGATTGGCTTCATTGGTTTTACATGGCGTGGGGAAAGGTTGAACGATTATGGCTTCGTAGGGAGGAGACCTTTTACGTTGCACAGTTGCCTATGAGAGAGTCATGTGGAGGCCCACCTACCTGCTCAGTAATTCTAAGTGTCCCTTAGGATTATAACGTGTGTGACAGTGTACCGCAGGGTTAAAGATGTGGCCTTTGGCAGATGTTGAAATCAATTCAGAAACCACGCATACGTTCACAGAATTTAACCCGGGTATTGTGATGAGTTGCAGATGGCACGGCGTCAGGAGACGTCGGACGTCGCAGTCATGAATTTCTCTATTTGAAATCATTATTAAAATCAGATGTGCAGTCAGAGGACTGGAAAAAAAATGGTTATTTTGATTAAAAGGAGAGAGACTAGTTTTAATAATTTTTATTTTTTTACTTATCCCTGGTGGAAAAAGTTGAAGAGTTAAATGAATTTGAATTAAAAAAGACGTATTTAAGCCAATTAGAGTAGGTGAGACAACTGTGAGCGAACATTTGAAATTGTGGTCGTCCTGAGACTGGATGGTTGCTTTGTCAATATCACAATTTGTAACACTACATTCCTTGTCTTTTTTTTTTTTTAGCCAGGTGATTTAAGCTCTGTTATACTTCATGCTGCGTCATCTGCATGAATTGTGCCAGCATGATATGCTCTACTCAAAGAAATTGTACCTAAATAAAAAGGAGGGGAAAAAAAACAAAAACACAAAACAAAACACTGTGTCTGAACAAAATACTGTGTGGCCTATACAGAGACCCTAGCTATGACTGAGAGATGCTGCATTAACAGACAATCAATGGGTAAATTATTTATGAAACACTTTCGGGAATGGTCTTAAAGGTGTCACTGCTTTGAAAGCAGCTGGTGAGTTGTGTTTTCAAAGAAGGAAGGTAAAAACTATTTATTTTAAAATACATCGGATTGAATGTTGCGTTTTTAAGCAGTGTTGATTTTCACAGTGTCTCGGGTTCCAGTTTTGTTTTGTATTTTTTGAACTGGCATTAGCTTTGTATTTGTTCACCAACAACCCCTAATGCCGCTCATATTGATGTCAGGAAATGTAGATACAGTTCCCTGGTGTTCGTGTGACCATTACTAACTGTCAATTTTTTTTTTTAATTGAATAAATGTAAAGTTTAAAATTTTGCTTTTTGTAGCTTCTAAGGTTCTAGAATTATTTTTTTTCCTGAGTTCCTTAATGTCACTTCGATAAGAGTTTCACAGTGAAGTGCTCTCATACCCGTTCCACAGATGTAACAAAGGCACTCTCTACCCCCCAACAACTGACGTGTGAGAAGTTGCTTGATGTCGATTTTACCTTCTCTCCCTCCCAAGAGAAATGACTTGTGAGACTTCAGTAAAAATGCATACTGTACTCCTTTCTTGTCTGCTCTCTGTATCTCTTCATAAACTGCTGGCCCATGCTGATGGCCGGAGACCTTCAGCTTGTGTGGTTACATTGCTGCTCTTATAGGCTGCTCTAATCCTCTCACTGAGCAAAGTGGGAACGCCAAGGGCAGTAATTTAATAATTCGAAGTTAACCAAATGTTTAAGGGAAGGTGAGAGAGAAGGAAACCCCACAGTTGAAGCTGAATAACTGGAGGAATTGATAAATACTCTTTACAGTCTGCTGTTCTCTCTCTGTATCATCATCACAGCAGATGCTCATGGTAAAACTACTCATCCTTTGCCTTGGGGAATTAAAGCATCCTTGTGCAAGCTGTGTCCCACCTCCAGCCCCTGAGCAACTCCACATACCACAGGAAACAAAACAAGTTGCAGAAGCACCAGTTAAAAACTGCCAACACCCACCAATATTAAGGCTGATAGCACGCAGCACAAATTAGCACTTTTCTTAGATCTGAACTTTAGAAATATCAATATGTTTTTCCATAAGCTTATCAAGAAGAGCTATAACTATAAATGACTACTGCGGCACCTGATCAATGCTGCTCAATGACACTTCACTGTTGTGCAAAGCTCTGCTTGCAGGAAAATGTTAGGTAACTGGGAAGATTAGCAATCCAAAGGTTAGCTACCTCAGCACCCCGGGCTCAGTGTCAGCGATACAAATTCCAGACCTCAGCAGTCAGAGGGCAGTGGGTAGCAACCCAGAATTCCAGTCTTAAGCAGTCACGGTACCACACAGTCTCTTTCAATCACCTTTGGCAACTCTGTTTTTACATAGCAAGTATGTGTAAATCAGCCTGAGGGTATACTTGTGTAGCACATCACACAGATGGGTGCAGCCATTGCTGCACATCAGCACAAGGTTGTAGTAGCAACCTGCCACAAGCGCTGGCTTCTGGGACACAGCAAGGTGAGCTGCAAGAAAATGCCATGTCACCATAGCCTCCTACACAGCATCCAGAATCACAGAAATACTTCAGGATAACTGGGTAAATTTGGATGAAACTGCACAATCCATTCAAGAGCCCAGTTTGTTTGATGCAAAGGAAAGCTGTACAGCAGCAGGCAGCTTTTTAGAGAGCTCTGAGTACAGCCACTTACTTGTTAACCAGCAGATTTCCACAAGCAGCATCTGCCTATCACACCTCCAAGCAGCAGCTCATGGGACCCAGGCCTTCCTGCAGTGCTCTGAGCACAGGCTGGTTTTTGAGCCGGACCTGTACTTTGGCTCACTGAATTCTGAAAAACTCTGTACTGAAGATTACAAGTTTACCTTAATCTCTGCTTAGCGCACTTTGCCACATGCAGTGTAATGAGGGCTGTGAATCAGTTAGGAACCTTGAAAAGAACAAGCACCAGTTTCCTCATTTCAAACAACTTGGACTGGCCGGAGGTTTTTCTTCCATCCCTGTAGAACTGACCATACCATCTAATTCTGTTTCCAGTGTTCAAGCCTGGAAATGAGTAGTTGTAGGTGGTTTGCACTTTCAAGTTTCCACTGCGTTCACAGCCTGAGTTGCAAATTCTTGCTTTGGAAGCTGATGTGGAAATTCCCCTGGAACTGGCAGGGAAGTCTGCTGGAACTGAGAATGCATCCCACTTCAGGAGGGTTGGAAAGTCCGTGCTGGGTCATTGCTTATGTTCATATTGCTGGTACGGCGATTTGCAGTGCCTTATCTTCGCTGCTTAAGTATCCACTCATCACATTTAACATCCTCCAGCCACAAAAGGAAACAAAATATCAGATAACCATCAAAAGTTCCAGCTAGTTTAGTCTGTTTCTCATTCTACTCTGCAAGGCAAAGTATTTAAAAGGAAGAGTACTATTTACATTGTATACATTTCATTTCTGGAAAGCAGGGCCTTGACTGGCCAGTGCAACAAGCAGCTCCTTCCCCCCAAATACCCTTTTCTTCTAAGCAGCAGTTACACCCCAGGACATAAGCATGTGTAAGCCCAGGCAGGCATGTCCCAGCAGCACGGCATCAAGCCCGCTCTGCCGCCTTGCAGCCAAGGTTTACAAGATTTTGTAATTCCCAATCCTGAAAACGGCTCCTTCCCCCCACCTGAGAGTTGCTGCAGGACTGAACTAGGCAAGCATTGCATTTCATCCTTGTGAGCAAGCTGACATGTCCAAAACCATTAAATCAGACCCATACCTGGCTCTACTGGCTATTATTCACATTTTTATTCCCTGCTAATCGGCATTCTTGTTTACAAGGCAAAAGCAAATCATTCTGGACAACTTTAGAACTGATCATTAGTTACTGACTGCTTCCACACAACTGAGAGAAAGCCAATAGGGATGCTGTCATAGTACTGTCAGCTGATTCACTACCCTACTTTTTCACCAACACTCCTCAAGTGCTTAGCTAGTTTCACAGCTTGTGCATCTCTTTCAACATTACATTTCAGGTCAGCCCCATCTGCTTACCCACCCCTCTGCTCTTCTCAGTGCTGTAACTTGCAGCCTGAACACTCCTGCAAGTTGGTGAACAACTTCCTACGTCTGCATGTCCAAAGAGCAATAGCAAGTTAGCTGCTGAAAAGACATCATTTTCCATTCTCCTATGCTCAACTCCACTGCTAAACACATTACAACTCACTGAGTATGATGGAGGAAATTGGACCAAGGTGCAATGAATGAACCACTCATTCAGACAGACCACACACCGTTCTCCATCTCTTGGCTGAGGGAGAATCAGAGAGGCAGTGGTTTATTTTTCTAATTAGAGATCAGTAACTTCTTCCAAATCTGAGGGCAGAGGGGAGGATGTGGAAATAGCCATGGGGAGCAGAAGGAATTACTGCTCACTCTCCCAGCACTGCAAGCATTAGCTTAGGATGCAGACTGCCCATAAGGGTAGGCCACCTTAGGTGTGATATCTATTCATCTATACACACATGGCAGTAACCTGCACCTCAAGTCTACAGGGATTTCAAGACTGAACAGTGCCACACCTCTCCGAAAGCAACGCATCGGAAGTATGAGAATGCAGTAAGGAAAGCTGCTAAAATCCCAGCCACTGAACCAGCCCATGTGCAGTTGTCTGAGCCAACAAAGCAGACAGCTAGAGGCTGGGCACTACAAGGCTGTATGGGAGGACACTGTTTCTGCTAGAGGCAGGGCAGCATACAGTGCTGCTAAAAATACACTGGGAGTCTCCAATCACCTTGAGCAGGCTTCAGTTATACAATGACTGGACTACACCAGTCTTGGAACGGTGAAAAATTCCAACAGGCAACTCACAACATTAAATCTCTACAGTTAGTCCTATCTGCTATAGTGCCTTCTAAAATTTTTGCTAAAATCCAAGAACCCACCTCATTTTATAATAGATTTCCAAGCGTAAGTGAACATTGGCTCTAAACAACCAAAAACAGTAGGAGCATTTTCTAACTCAATGAGTATCTGCCTATGTATTGCCTATTTTTGACCAGGCAGTGGTCAAAAGCAGTAATTTGCATCACATGAGTTTGCAACAGCAGAATGTAAATGTGAAAGTTGCATGGATTTGTTCTGCAATTTCATATTTACCTCTTAAAAAAAAAATATATATATATATATATATATTAATGTCTTCATTTTTTTCTGTTGATCACAATTGTTTTAACACCAGAACAGTTTCAAGCAGTGCATAGGAAGTTCAGAAAGTTTCTACCCTAGGACACAGCCAACTGATTTGGCTTTTGATCAAGAATTTTCAGCAGGATGAAGGGCAGGCAGCCTGCAGCACTGTGATTGCCCAGCACTATCTAGCACATGTGTAAGAAAACACTGTGCTGTAGCACCACACAACAAGCAGTTTCCCAGTGAGCAGTTAAAGTTCACTCTTCCCTGCTTTGGGTTCCCTGTTCTTTCTTTTTTAATGTGATCCAGGTAATGCATCCCCTGAGGGTAAAAGGTTAAACAGACTACAGAGAGGGCGTTCACAGGGTGTGGAAAGAAGAGGCTGCAGCAATTGGTTACAATGCTTGCTTCAAAACTGAACAAATCAGTGCATTACCCAGCAATTAACAACAGCACTGCCAGCAGCTCCTTCCTTCAGATCAGGACTTGAACTTCTAGGCCTGGAGCTGTAATCTGTTTTCATACTACTCTGCATAAAAGGAATCAAGCGGCTGCAATCTTCGGGGTTTGAGAACCTCAGCATTAAGGGGTTTCTATTGGCAGCAAAATCCAAGAGGAGGCTTCCTACCCTCTGTTCTCAAGCAACAATTTGGACAATCTAATTTGTAGCACTTGATCTTACTTTAGCTTCAGGCTAAAGCAGTAGATAGATGCTATTAGAAACTCTATCTTCTGCTTTAGAGAAGCTCTTAACATCTTATTTAAGCTATTAGCTCAGAATCTACTAGCTACCAAGCAGCAGAGAAAACCACGTGTTTCAGTATCCCATATCTTAAGCGACCAACATTTTCAAAGTTTTTATAACTGGTACTTATAACAGCATCCAAAATAAATTTAGTAAAGTTTAAATAAATCATCACTTTAACCTCTGTGGCAGGAATTATGGAACTGCCAAAAAACAATACTGAAAATGACTCAAATTGAGACACTATGTTTTATTAATACTCTTCCAGATTACATTTCTATTCCTAAAAAGAAAAATATGAACATATCTAAATCTAAAGATTCCATTATTGTTCAGTCCTGGGAATGAAACACCGTTAAGTTGGACCACTTTATTACTTTCCACGTACTTTATAAAGTTTAGAAAGTCAAAAAAGAAAAAAAAAAAAAAGGAAAAAAAAAAAATCAAATACTACTAGCTCCAGATTGCACATTGAACTTGGTAGGCTGCTAATCAGCACACAATTTCCTGATAAAAATCCCTGATTAAGAAGTTTGCCCTCTACATGAAATTCATAATATTTTCTGTTGGTGGCTCAGCAACTAAAAGGTATAGGAACGGCTCCCCAGCTTTTTGTTGCTTACATTATCCAGCCTCAGGAAAGTCCTGG